ATATATATATATATATATATATATATATATAACAGCCCCTCGTTTGTTGTCCTCTTCTCCCTCTCTGCCTACGGTTTACCGGGCAGTTCTATTTGACGATATATATACTCGGATATGACCGGTGAAAGGCTCTGCCTCGAGCTGCTTCAGATCGCAGAGTCAAAGCCTGGCTATAACCGCCTGAACTCCCTTAGCTATGGTGTCCAGGAGAGTCTTCCTTTGCCCTGCACACCACACTCTATTGCTGCCAACCCCCAGTGTCGACAATCCTCTCATTGCTAATGCTGCTGCAACTAGTGCCCATGCCCTAATGCAGTGTTGCTCCCCAGCAGTCTGGCGGCAACTAGAACATTCAAACTCTCTCCCACTGACTCACGATCCCAGGCGTATGCTACTGGGCCACTCCCTGCACCATACAGTAGCTCTCCTGGGCCATCTGACCTGATCAGGTCTGATGGGACGAGAGGGTGAATGAAGTCTTAGTCCAATGGCTCAGGCCAAGGAAACGTGTGGCCTGGGGTCCTATCTAGGCAGCCACACCTTGGTCTGCCTATAATGGACATGGGATGGACCAGGCACTACTGGACAAAGAAGGTCCAGCCCTAGTGCGGACAAAAGTCTCCAACCACCTCCAATGACCAAATCGTGCGAACAATGCCTGACACTTATTCGAACGGACGTCCGAGAGCAGACAAAACTGGAACATACATGAGAAGAAAAATATCTGAGAAATTCAAGGATTTCACTGCTGCATTCCTGGTCCCAGTTCCCAACTTCAATGTCAGTCCCAGTCGTGTGTCACATATTCCCGACTCCTAGGTAGGTAATGTATGTAGGCCGCGGTGTCGAGCGCATGGGTCCCGCGCCGCGCAGGGCAGGACCCTCCTGGCCGCGTCACGCAGGAGTTGGTCTGATACTCGTCGCAATACACATGGAGTTTTCGCAAGCCGCTCCGGTCGAGTGGGCCAGCCATACCTCTTGCGAGCCCCTACGACAGGATAGGGCCAACGCGAGGTACAACTTTACCTCCACCTGTTGGACTTAGCAGTAGCTCCTTGACGACAACCATGACCAGTAGCAGCAGTATCAGCACCTTCAATCAACAAGCTTGAGTGCCATGACGCAGATGAAGCTCTTCCATGGCTTAGCCCTCAACGCCCAGACTATTACCACACGATTAGTCCGCCCCAATCACATAGCAGCGGATCAATCCCCTGATGCCAGCTGCAGCGACCGGAGTACAGGCAGAAGCTACCCTTGTAGGCCATCGCCGTAACCAGGTACGTGCTATCTCCTCCCTCTCTCCGTTTCTCTTCCCCTTCGTCGTCGTCGTCACCTGCCACGGCTGCGATCCTCAGCACTAACAGCGTATGAATGAATCTATCGCTCGATTATAGAAATATACACTGCTTTCCATCCATGTGGGCAGAAAAATAAAGAAAGACTATTCCCGTTGCTGGGCTGAACAAAATCGAAATGAATCTTCCGCTAGAACGCGGACAGGTTCATTCTCATTTTACGATTCCTTCTCCTCTATGCAGCCCCTATCGCCCGCAGTGCCAAGATTGTTGCTCAAAACGAAAAGCCAACCACATCATCCAGTTCGCAATACACAAAACCCCCCATCTCACATCTAAGTCCGCTCGACTCCGTCAGGGATCGATCGAGCTATGAGATTTGTCGTCCGCCTTAGTTGCTTTCCCGTCTCACACCGCGCACTAAACTTTCTCTACTACTTCTATTCTACTAACTCGTACGCCAAACTAACCTCACTATTCACTTTGCCCGTCTCGAAAACTACCACTTCGCACTTCTTCTCTCCCGATTCCGACCAGAAACAGCCAAGATACGCGTTCTCCCACTTCCATTGTCTTCACTTTCACCATCTTTCTTCTTCTTCCTATTCGTGCCCGTCGTTCTCGTCACTTTCGATCATACTTGCGGCGCATTAGTGCGGTGCGCGATGCGGTGCGCTGCGCCGTGCGGCGCACGCACATGCACGAGGTGCGCCGTGCGCGCAGCGCATGGGGATGCGCTACCAGTGCACTGTCTCTTATACACATCTAGATGTGTATAAGAGACAGGGGTGGACCTGGCGCATTCTTCCTGTGTGTAGCGCCAG